GCCGGCTGACAGCCGGGCTAAGTGCGGGGATTGGCTAAGCAGCCGCTACTGTCGGCCGTTAGCTTGTGCGTTAGCCGCCGTCGTTAAGCATCTGCAAGCCGCCAATCCAGGCGAGTTCACTTTTGCTTTGGCTTTTTCTTTTTTTTTTGCCTTTCACATGCTTCGATGCACTTGTTGGACGTTTGGACACGTCGTTGCGCGTATGGCGCTTGCAAACGGTCGTCACGCTACCATCAAAGGCACCATTTGCTTTACTTATCTCAAATCAATTTTTCCAATCCTTAAAAAAAACATACAACAGTTGGGTGTTTACGTGCCAGTCAACCGAAGCGTCGTTTTGCGAACAAGTTTAAAATGCTGCTCGGGATTATTTTCAAAGTTCCGAAAGCGTTATTCCTTCCTCACCTAAAAAAAAAAAAGTTCAAGTATCACCTCTTAATTTGATTTGACTTTTTATTAGGTCTCCCGTAGGAGAAACTTGTCTCGGAGGACAGTCCCTCTGTGCTGCTACATACATTGAGCAAAAAACATACACATACACTAATGAGAGAAAATTTCACGTTATAACATCATACGTGACATGTTTTGACATGCCAAATTTCACATTTTAATGTGGTAAATCTCCTCTTTGAATGTGATACATTGATGATACATTTTGACAATTTCATTTGACTTTCGAGTCAGTCAAAACTAAGCAATTCCTTCCGTTTCAGGCGAAGGAGCCCTGTGGAAGTATGTTTCCACTTTTAAAATATGCAATCTTTGGCAATCTTGGCCTTTTTTTTAACTCCCATGTAGTTACATAGGTACCCACTTTGATATGTATGACAAAAAAGTGATCCTCCGCAAATGACCCAACTGAAAGGAATTGCTTCATTTTGTTTTGAAGTCAAGCTTCCCATGTTTTAACTTAGCATGTTGGAATGTGAAACTTGGCACGTTATAACGTGATTGTGAACGTTTGGGGGAAAACGAGCACCACGGACTTTGATGATGCATTCCAGAGAAATTCATTTTTTGGGTAAAACTGCCTAATTTGCATATTTCTCATCAGAGATCAACTTTTTGTTCCATTTACCACTTAAAAAAGACCTCTGATTGGCAGACGAGTTTCAGTTCAAAATACATATATTGCAATGAACTCAATAGTGCACAAAATTCTGACAAGTTCTTAGTCAACGCAAAAAAACGAGCGGAAGTGGCGACACTTGCCCCCAAAAATTGACTTTGCTCAAATTGAAGGCTTTTAAGTTAGGAACAACCAACAAAAGCCTTGCGTTCTTTTTATGTAAATTCGTGATGCTTCAACTCCTGGTTCGATCTGTCACTTTTGTGAGGAAAATCGGCAAAAATGTGGATTGTTTTCCAAAGTAAAAGTGGATATTTGCGAAAAGACAAAAAGGTGTCGGTCTGCGTTTATGGGGGATGACAGGAATTGGAGATAATTTCATGTTGACAAGCAAGGGGATAGAATTATTGTTAATATTTTTGGGGGGGGGACCAGGTGATCAATTCATTAAAAAAAAGGATGGGTTCATAACATTTTAAAATAATGAGCTGCGAGCCCTAATATGTATTTGTCATGTTTTTGTAACTACTGTTGAAAAGGGTGAAATGGTGCAGCTGAGGACAATTTGAAGTTGAGCGCAGTTTCAAAACGATTGCCGTCCTCTCAAACGGGTTGCGGACGAAGTCACTCGCCCATGCCTTGTGAATTGGTGTGTTTGTCAGGTTGTACGATGGGAGTTTGTCTCCTGGAGGGAAACGTCCAGCTGAGGGAGCAACGCAAGTGACACGAAAGCACGCAGGCACCCACGCACGCTCCCGCCCGCGCACCCCCTCCGACCAACAGAGGGCCTTTTCCCAATTTCCCTCCCGCGGTCAGACGCTGCATCCCCACGCCGCATTAGCGCGTCGCCGCCGTCCACCATGTCGGACGCCCCCGAGGCCGCCCCTCCGAGTCCCCCCGCCCTCACCAACCCGCCTCCGCCGGAGGTCACCAATCCCACCAAGCCCGGGAGGTGAGCCGCCGCACATTCTCGCCATCAACACGTCGTCAATCTCAAATTATCTCCCATCGCCGATGGCGGCTAAAAAAAAAAATCACGCCGACATTGTCTGATCACGGCGCCTGTTGCAAGCGTTAGCGACTAATGGCTAGCAGTTTAGCAAGTGTCCCATATCGACTGGTGAGAACTGTGGGGCTTCTTTCCAATGGCAGTTGTACGGGCGAACAGGTGCTTGAAGCAGGATTTTTCAAATTAGACGCTTTAGCTCAATTGCTGCTGTGGTGCTGATGTCAATTCATCCCATCCATCCATTATCCGGACCACTTTTATCCTCACAAGGGGTGCCGGAGCCTATCCCATCCGTCTTCGGGCAGTAGGCGGGGGACACCCTGAACCGGTTGCCAGCCAATCGCAGGGCACACAGAGACGAACAGCCATCCGCACTCACACTCACACCTAGGAACAATTTCGAGTGTGTGTTGGAATGTGTGAGGAAACCGGAGTACCCGGAGAAAACCCACGCAGGCACGGGGAGAACATGCAAACTCCACAGAGGAAGGCCGGAGCCGGGATCGAACCCACGACCTCTGCACTGTGAGGCCGACGCGCTAACCACTGGCCCAGCGTGCCGCTGTCAATTCATGCCGTCGCCCAAAATCGACACCCCAAAACATTTTGCTGCGCTGCATGCTTGAAATTGGAGAGAGTGATGTTGTTGATCCCAAAATGAAAACCAGTTGGTTGTTCACCACTTCTTTTCTCTTGCGTATTTAGAGTGGTTCTTGAACGCAGCAGAAAGGTATATTATTTGATTTTATCCACAACAAAAAAAAAAACAAGCGGCATTTTTGTTTGGTTAGAGATGTTGGATGCAGAAAAGTAATCTCGATGATCAATTAGGAGAACGAGTGCTAATTGGCCGTTCCGAATTCGTCCACGTGTGCACAAATTGTGGATGTGTGTTTTCACCCAAAAGACCAAGTGTGTGTACGTGTGCGTGTGTGTGTGTGTGTGTGTACGAGCAGGAAAACCAACCAGCTGCAGTACATGCAGAACGTGGTGGTGAAGACGTTGTGGAAGCATCAGTTTGCGTGGCCTTTCTACCAGCCCGTGGACGCCATCAAGCTGTGCTTGGCGGTGAGTGACGCCCGCCTGGCGCCGCACTAGTGGGAAGGGCAGGGGCTAAGCGTGTTGCTGTGTGTGTGTGCGTGTGTGTGCGTGTGTGTGTGTATAGGATTACCACAAGGTGATCAAGAACCCGATGGACATGGGCACCATCAAGAAGCGTCTGGAGAACAACTACTACTGGAGCGCCAGTGAGGCCATGCAGGACTTCAACACCATGTTCACCAACTGCTACATCTACAACAAGGTGCGCAGGCACAACCAACCCCCCCCCCCACACACACACCTCCATTGCAATTATTTTCCCCTGTCCCATCTGTTCGCAGACATTTTTTTGAGTGTGTGAGAGTGTGTTCAACAATATGCCTCCGTAGAGTTGAATTGGCACTTTCAAGTCTTTTAAAAAATAAAAAAAATTCCTGTACCTGTTCTCGAGTACTACTTGATCGCTGCATGTGAACAGCACATGTACGTTGTCATGAGTTGACAGGTGTGCATTTTTTGCGTAGCCGACAGACGACATCGTGCTGATGGCGCAGGCGCTGGAGAAGATCTTCCTCCAGAAGGTGGCGCAGATGCCCCAGGAGGAAGTGGCACTGCTGCCGCCCGCCCCCAAAGGCAAGAACAAGAGCAAACAGCTGCCCGCTGCCGCCACCACAGGTACGGCGCAGCACCGCCAAGTCCGCTTGGACAAGATGACGCCGCATGAGTGGACTCGACTTGAGTGTACCCACGTATCGGAGCGTCTCTCTGTAGGAGATGTAGTACCGTAAATGCAAGTGTGTACTCGGGTAGGACACGATCCTGATTCTGCGGAGAACATATTTAAAAAGATGATTTTATTATATCGTGACTTGAGCTTACTTGAGTACTTGAGTAGACTCAACTTGAGTACGGTATGAGAGCAGAGTAGCAGACTGCTAATTGTTGTTGTGTTTGCGTGTCAGTGAGTCAGCAGGCGGAGTCTTCGGCGTCGCCCCCCGCCTCCTACCCCTCGCCCTCCCAGACGGCCGTCATTTCGACCACGCCCACAAACGTCCAGGCCACGCCTCCCGCACCCGCGCCAACACAGCCGCCGGCCACCATGATGCCGTCTGCGCAGCCCGTCGTCAAGGTAAGTGCCAGCGCGCTCCTTCCGTAATGCTTCTATTCAGCTTCCGGCCGCCCCCGCTGGTCTTCGCCCTCGCTAGTAAGACAATTCGGCGCGCCTGTCCGACCCGACTGAATGACACGACTGCACTCCGTGTTAGTTGTGAGACAAAACGAGATGAAGGGTTTCGTACGGAGGGGAAACTCTGCGGAAGATGTAAGAGTCCTGTTTGGTGTGCCAACAGAAGAAGGGCGTGAAGAGGAAAGCCGACACCACCACGCCCACTACGTCGGCCATCTCGGCGGGCCGCGCCGACTCGCCCACCGCGCAGGACGTCAAACCTGACGTGGGCGGCGGCGGAGGCGGCGTGGCCGTCGGCGGCGGCCGCAAGGGGGGGAAGCTGGGAGAGCAGATGAAACACTGCGACGCCATCTTGAAGGAGATGCTGTCCAAAAAGCACGCCGCCTACGCGTGGCCCTTCTACAAGCCCGTCGACGCCGAGGCACTCGAGCTGCACGACTACCACGACATCATCAAGCACCCCATGGACCTCAGCACCGTCAGGGTAACCGCCGCTTGCCATTCGTCCTTTTTACAACAAGCGCTGGTGATTGTGAAAATAAATGTGCACGGTCGCTCGAATGTACACTTGACAGTGAACAGGGCAGTGCGTTTCTTGCGTGCACTCATGGAGGCCGCCAATACCAGCCATGGATATTCGGGCGGAA